GTGTGTGTGTGTGTGTGTGTGTGTGTGTGTGTGTGTGTGTGTGTGTGCGTGTGTGTGTGTGTCGGTGTGTGTGAATGTGTGTGTGTGTGTGTGTGTGTGTGTGTGTATTTGTGCGTTTGTGTGCGGGTATATATACATGCAAAGCGCTATATGTGCTCCTAAGTATCGTCTTATGGCTTTGAACGGTTCATAGTAATGATATACTTTCTGTACGATACATTCACATGTACTGTACCCAACGTAAGTGTGCACTTATCGAGGAAAATATGATGTATACTTGTCCCATCGGATGTATTCAAACGAATACAAAGTATCGGGTCGAATACTATAAGGACGTGATGACTAGTTGAGTAGCCTGAGGTAGCTGCCTGCTCAGCTATTGCGACATACACCAAACTCAGTCACTCGGGTATTTCCACAGACAGATAACTATCACACAATATAAAACTGCAGTCTATTTACGTTCCCAGGCACCTTGCGAGTATTATCATCAAGAATAGTACCACAGTTAGAACTCAGGCCGGGCCACCTGCCACATACGTCAGTGGTACAAAACGCACACATATACCTATAAGATCATCATTGGATAATACAAACTAGTATGAAGTTGAGAACCCTCCCCCCCTCCCTACACACACACACGCCACCCCTCCCCCAGCAGATACAATCAAGGTGCAACGCGAACCTTAAAACATTGAGTAGGCACCGGCGCTCCTGAGACAACAACAACTTACGGCACTCGGAGGAGGACAGTCCCCGACACGCTGGCCCTTGACTGCGTTGCCGAGAAAGTGTATGAACCCTAGTATGGTGCTATGTGCTGATGTGGTCTTCCACTCCTCTACTTGTTGCTCAGTGCTGATCACCTGTATCAACCCACTGATATGTTAATGTACAACACTGGAAAGTAGCTACCTTGCGAATGTTCTAAATTAAACAAAGATCATAGTGCGATTGTTTGTCATTAAACCCGGATGATACAATACCTTGATAGGGATTGTGGGTGGTGCTGTGGGAAAGCCGCTCGCATCGGATCCCGACATGTTGTGTGTCGACACGTGTCTAGCTTGCTAAAATCACGCTGTGTATGAGCAATATTGTGGATGCTTGTCTACACGTTTGCATCGATGCTGTAGAATGGTAAATTTATCGGTGAGAAGTTAGATTACAATATGGATATGCAATAATGCATATGTGTGTAGTGTGTGTGTACTCCTATCTTCCGTCCGAAATTTACCATTTGTGTGTCTATACTATCACCCCAACTACACAGTATCCTTTAACTGAAACTTTCTGCCGTGAATCGCTGCTTTAGGGGAACTGATTGTTGGCCGAGCTCATTGACATAGAACACTTTTGGGCCAATATACGATTGTATACGTCGTGAGAAGTCCCATCAGTACCGGAACAGCGATTACGGTACATTAGCAACAGTTTGACTGCATACACTATATGGTTATACTACATACATACACACGAGTCTGTTTATACTGACACTACATACGCGATTATGATTACTTATATACCCTAATACCCTGTACAATGATCCCAAGACTATCTAAAAATAGACTGTCAAATCAGTTTTTGATTGGCCGCGCGTACCGCAATTCCCATGGGTATTTGCTATATTATATCTTTTTTAACGTTAAAATTTCCTAAACCCCCTTCCTATCACTCCTCCTGCCTGGCTGTGTGAAGTACCGGTACGGGAGCGTATTTTAATAAAATAATATATAGATCACTGAGAGTTGAGACTTGTGAGAGTTGAGACTTGTGAGAGTTGAGACTTGTGAGAGTTGAGACTTGTGAGAGTTGAGACTTAGACCTATTATAGAGATTAGTACTGTGCACACGAAAGTAGGATATATAGCACTGTAGCACATTCAAGTCACACCATTATATCACAGCACGCCGCCAGTTTAATTGTATATTCCACTATATAACTACGCAAGCCAACTGTACAAGCATACACAGTTTGTGCATAGCCCCTTTGTAAAGCCACACAGCTACATTGTACAACTACCCTACACAGCACAATGTCCGGGGATGAGGGTGGTGAGACCGTCCCGTCTGACTACGACGACACTCAGGACCATCCCAGTCAAGACACAAGCCAAATAATTGAGGGAGGGGCAGCCGATCTATTCGCTTCTGATGATGACGTATGTGGATGTGTGTGCTGTACAATTGTTCTAGAAAACGTTTGACAAATGGCGTTTCTTGTCGTTTTAAGATGCTGTTGATTGAAGATTAAGTATGAAGAATTTTCGCAATATTCTGTTTATTTCGCTTGCCTCAATTGTTAATGGTATATGTATATTTGTGAATGTGTATATATCCATATA